TTTAAACATGCCCTTTATTTTCTATAATATGAGAAAGTAACTGAGTGTTCCAGTTATAAACAAACACCTAGTACAAGTGATAAGAGACAAACATATAGGTAATAACACGTGTATCAATACAATAACCCAGAATATATGGATACAGAATGCAATTTAGTTGCCATGCCAGGATACAAAATTTCGATTGCATCTGTTTCTTGTACCTTGTATTTGTCATTGTGTCTTCAGCCTAACAGTTTATGACAGATTTTCTTGGAAACAAGAAGTCAAGTCGCAATAACCTAAAAACTTCGGTGTTTGGGTACCTACCTACTAAAAACTGGTTGTAAACGAAAGTTGTTCGAGACTTGAAAGAGGTACTGTCCGTCATTTTTAATCTGACACTCACTTTCCGTATGAGGAAAGAGGGGGGGGTTTCATATGGCAAAAACAGAGGTGTGATGTCAGGTGAGCAATGGTGTTCTAACGTAGTGAGCCACCAGCTCACATTCCTTTGGGGTAAAAGATTAAAATCGACGGACTATAGGTTGCCTTATAAGTTTTATGACGTCATTTGGGGTGCCCCAATGGGGGTGCCGCAACATAATGCAAATCTCCATGAGGCACCCCAGATACGTCATCAAGTTATCCATTACTAAACAACCTTATCAACTTTAGGAACCTTGGTTGTGAACAAAGTAATTTGCACTCTAATTTGTTACAAATTGAACAGAATTCTTGCTGTGTCGCTTGATCAATAGTTAACTCATGTCCAAGCCTAGGTTAATTTGACTGTAAGTTCTTGAGGTTATAGAACACCATTTCTTCACTAGTAGTTACTGGATAACCTATAGTTAATCAACTACTGTGAAACTGGCCTAATAGTTGCGGGTTAACCACAAGTTTACAAACTGAGGGTTGACTTAAGTTTTCTGATACTTGACCAATGTTTTTGGCTCAATCACTCGTTATGAAACAGATGGTGGGTTACCACTGTATTGTGGTTACCGCTATTTGTGAAACTGGCCCTGAGACGGTTTTCTGGCTGATGGTTGGTGTCAAATTAACCAGTAAGAAAATAGTCTGTCATCAATAATTTATGTGTAGTAAAAAATTAAATACATTTTCAACGAAATTAGTGAAATTTATATCTTCGTTGCTCGTTATATTTAACAGGTTATGGGCCCAGTTACCCCAGTGTGTAAAGTTTGAAGGATAAAGTGAAAAAAAAGTAACATTTTCGATATTAGCTGTGCTGTTGTTGTTTTTTTGAAGTCGTCAAGTATTGTGAAAATGGCTGCATCAGTTTTACCATTTCCTCAGTTGTCCAATACCAATTATTCTAACTGGAAGTTTCGCGTGCAGGTATTGTTGGATAAGGAAAATGTTAATAGTGAATAGAGGTGACTGATGACCAGTTCCAGACCCTCAACACAGATGAAAAAGCTGCTCATTTAAAGCCAAATGTATTATAGTACAGTTAGTTGAAAATACAGTCTCCCACATTTCAAAGTTTTCCTGGAAAACTACTGAAGGAAACATTTTGAAACTTTTTGCATGTAAAGAGGAAGTTGAGAAGCTCATTTTCCCAAAATTTCAAATTTTTCTGGTGGAAAATAACAACATGAGGAATATTGGAAATCAACCTACAATAACTGAATTAATTGAAAATACAGTCTCACATATTTCAGAGTTTTCCTGGAAAACTAGTGAAGGGAAAATTTTGAAACTTTTTGCATGTAAAGAGAAAGGTGAGACGCTCATGTTCCCAAAATTTCAAATTTTTCTAGTAGAAAAGAGCAACATGAAAAATCTTGGAAGTCAACCTACAAAAACTAAATTAGTTGAAAATACAGTCACCCACATTTTAAAGTTTTCCTGGAAAACTAGTGAAGGGAAAATTTTGAAACTTTTTCCGTGTAAAGAGGAAGATGAGAAGCTCATTTTCCCAAAGTTTCAAATTTTTCCAGTGAAAACAGCAACATGAAAAATCTTGGAAATCAACCTACAAAAACTGAATTAGTTGAAAATACAGTCTCACCCATTTCAAAGTTTTCATCGAAAACTAGTAAAGGGAAAATTCTGAAACTTTTTGCATGTAAAGAAGAAGGTGCGAGAAGCTCATTTTCCCAAAGTTTCAGATTTTTCTAGTGGAAAACAACAACATGAGAAATTTTGGAAATCAACCTACAATAACTGAATTAATTGAAAATACAGTCTCACATATTCCAGAGTTTTCCTGGAAAATTAGTTAAGGGAAAATTTTGAAACTTTTTGCATGTAAAGAGGTAGATGAGACGCTCATTTTCCCAAAATTTCAAATTTTTCCTGTAGAAAACAGCAAGATGAAAAATCTTGGAAGTCAACCTACAAAAACTGAATTAGTTGAAAAAACAGTCTCACACATTTCAAATTTTTCCTGCAAACCTAGTGAAGGGAAAATTCTGAAACTTTTTGCATGTAAAGAGGAAGGTGAAAGGCTCATTTTCCCAAAATTTCAAAATTTTCTAGTGGAAAACAGCAACATGAAAAATCTTGGAAATCAACCTACAATAACTGAATTAATTGAAAATACAGTCTCACAAATTTCAGAATTTCAGAGTTTTTCTAACTAGTAGAGGGAAAATTTTGGAACTTTTTGCATGTGGAGAGGAAGGTGAGACGCTTATTTTCCCAAAATTTCAATTTTTTTCAGCAGAAAAAAGCAAGATGAAAAATCTTGGAAGTCAACCTACAAAAACTGAATTAGTTGAAAATACAGTCTCACACATTTCAAAGATTTCCTGGAAAACTAGTGAAGGGAAAATTTTGAAACTTTTTGCATGTAAAGAGGAAGGTAAAAGGCTCATTTTCCCAAAATTTCAAAATTTTCTAGTGGAAAACAGCAACATGAAAAATCTTGGAAATCAACCTACAATAACTGAATTAATTGAAAATACAGTCTCACATATTTCATAATTTCAGAGTTTTTCTGGAAAATTAGTTAAGGGAAAATTTTGAAACTTTTTGCATGTAAAGAGGTAGATGAGACGCTCATTTTCCCAAAATTTCAAATTTTTCCTGTAGAAAACAGCAAGATGAAAAATCTTGGAAGTCAACCTACAAAAACTGAATTAGTTGAAAAAACAGTCTCACACATTTCAAATTTTTCCTGCAAAACTAGTGAAGGGAAAATTCTGAAACTTTTTGCATGTAAAGAGAAAGGTGAAAGGCTCATTTTCCCAAAATTTCAAAATTTTCTAGTGGAAAACAGCAACATGAAAAATCTTGGAAATCAACCTACAATAACTGAATTAATTGAAAATACAGTCTCACATATTTCAGAATTTCAGAGTTTTTCTAACTAGTGGAGGGAAAATTTTGGAACTTTTTGCATGTGGAGAGGAAGGTGAGACGCTCATTTTCCCAAAATTTCAAATTTTTTCAGCAGAAAACAGCAAGATGAAAAATCTTGGAAGTCAACCTACAAAAACTGAATTAGTTGAAAATACAGTCTCACACATTTCAAAGTTTTCCTAGAAAACTAGAAAAGGGAAAATTTTGAAACTTTTTGCATGTAAAGAGGAAGGAGAGACGCTCATTTTCCCAAAATTTCAAATTTTTCCACCAGAAAACAGCAACATGAAAAATCTTGGAAATCATTCTACAAAAACTGTATTCATTATTAAATTCTTCATAAATTCCTCACAAATTCTCCCAAGTTCCCCATAGATTCCTCCAAGTTCCCTATAAATCCCCCAAATTCTCATAAATTCGGATGAGTTCCTACAAATTCCCCACAAATTCCTCTAAATTCCCCACATTTTTGGCAAAGAATTCCTAGGTGGTTTGCCCCTTGTTTCAAATATAATATATGGTTTAACTACTTTTAATTGAACCGTTTCGAAAATATCGGGGTCTAAACTTCAAGAAAATAATACATTGAAACACATAGCTCTGATCCAACCGACATGAGAACTGTTCTAGAACGGTAATTTCCAGTTGCCCACATATATTTCAATAAGTCGATCGTTTATCCTAATTGACAAATGAATTGAGCGACTGGAAATTATCGTTTTAGAACGGTTCTCTGGGGGTTGGAACAGAGCTGGATGTGTTTCAATGTATTATTTTCTTGAACTCTAGACCCCGATATTTCCAAAATGGCTCAATTAAAAGTAGTTGGAACACCACCTGCGTCATCAAATCTTGTGCTTTTCTGCCTAGTAAAACAAATAACTATTGTTGCTTCAAAAAACAGTTATATTTAACAGTTGGAGCAGACCTATCAAGTAATGCGGGAAAAGACTTCAAGTCTTACTTACTTATTTTAAGTTGAGTAGGCTGCACTGACTAGGTACTGAGCAACAAGTTCAAACAAGTCTCAACAGTTTTTAGTCCAAAAAACGACGATTTTTCCACATTTCGCACACTAAATTTTCCAAAAAAATCGACAAGAAAATCCGGCACGAGGCACACGCTTCCACGTCACCAACCCGAATGAAGTAAAAATATGTCAATGTTGAAAGAAATCGCAGCAGGTTAGCTTCATCTCTTTCTATCTCGCCTCATTAAAAAAGAGACGAAAAATCAAAATTCCAAGGCCTACTTGTATGAGGATCTATTATTTATTACTGTCGCCATCTATCGGCAACCAGAAGAAATAAATAGGTAAACAAGGTATTGTTATGGTTATTTTTCTAATAAGTGCGCAAAGTGATACTTTGTCGCACTTCGTACGAATATGAATAAATTCATTTTAATGTTGAACTGAAAATAAATACAAAATTTCCTTTACCAACACTCATTTGCGGGTGCAAAGTATTAAGTAATGCGAGAAAAGACTACTTTGCACACGCAGATGAAGTAAATCTATAAGAATTATTTACATCGATGTGATATAAATTTAAGATCTACTTAACTATGACATTACATTTAAGTTAAATTTTACCTTATTGTGACTTTATACAAACAGAAATTACATAATTTGGTAAAGTAGTTACGTAAATTTCTACCCTAACTTTATGTAACACTCATTTCAGGTCGCAAATACGCAATGCTCAAGCTGAAAATCCTCCTTTCTACAATCATGCGCAACTACAGAATCAAGTCCAATCTGAAGGAAAACGACTACAAACTACAAGGGGATATTATTTTGAAACGTGCAGACGGTTTCAGGATTGTACTGGAAAAACGCAAACCTACTGTAACGATGAAAGATTGAAATTATTTTGTATTTTATTTTAGTTTTGTATAGATGAGCAAAATAATAAAATTTTCAAAAAATGATTGGATTATCAGTTTTTTGTCGACTCAAATCTTCAGGTTCAGGAATTTCCTAATGTTTCTTGATTGTACATTGAAAAATTGATTAACAGAGTGATTATTCCTGGCATTTGAATCAAATCTTCAATATTAACGAAAAATAGAGAAATTTACAAACAAACAAAAAAAACAACGAAAACTCTATATACATAATTATCAAAGCAGCAATTAAAAACCATTATTATCATTGCAATTAAAAGTTCTAATAAAGCCACTACATACGTACAATTGATAAGCAAAAAACCCTATTAGCAAAATAAACGTACAATAGAAAAAATGCCGCTTTACATACTCGATCCGTATTTTTTGGTATTTTCAGCCCTTTTTATTATTCTAGTGTATTTTTACAGAATCCACACTTACATAAGTGATTTCCCTACAACACCTTACCTACCAATAATAGGCCATATCTTCGACTATTTAGACCCTTACGGTAAGAAACTTGTACATACAATTTTTAAAACTTATAAAAATTGTTTGCAGAAACCCTTCCAAAACTTACAAACAACCTTTCAAACAACAGAGGCATTATTAGACAATACTTTGGGCCAAAAAGGCCCCTTTTGATGGTGGGCAACAAAGAGTTTGTACAATTCTTATGCACCAATAGCAAATTTACAAATAAAGGCCAGGCTTATAGGCATTTGAAGCCTTGGTTAGGCGATGGCCTTGCTACAAGTGAAGGTAATTTGTTCATATACATATACAGGGTATATCATTTAAAACTAAACAGGCTAAATATCTGATGACACGTTTATTTTTTTTTTTAAATTGCTCGTACTTACACGTAATATGATTGTGTGACTATTTAAAACATATTCAGCATTAACTTAACCCTGTAGGGAGGGTGAACCAAACCTTACTATTCCAAATGAAACAAGGGGTCGAGTGATACCTGTTGTGTAATCTTATAATAGGAGATAATTATTCAATAGGACTTTATTTAAAATCTCACAAAGATTGACAACTTTATATTAATTATTGTCATCTTAAAACTAAAGGTAATAATAATTAAAATAGTTATTTATGTATTTTACAACATCTTCCTCTTTTAAATTTAAATAAATCGATTTTGTTGCGGAAACTTTGAAGGTGTCATTATAGGTGGCGCGGTGTTGCCTGGAAACTGGCAACCCACAATACATGGCGCACTGTCGTATGCCGGTGGCGAGTGTTTTTGACGTATGAGGTGGCTATGGGGCGCTGTGAGGATTCTATGGAGACAGTTGTTCTGTTTGTTTGTTTTTAATTAGAGAAAGAATTATATAAGAACACGGTTCAATTTTTTTTATATCTTTGAAAAACTTCTGCAGCAATATACAAACCAAATGGTAGTCGATTAAAAAATAAACGTGACATCAGATATTCAGCCTGTTTCGTTTTAAATTCTACACCCTGTATAAAACATGAAATTATTTTATAGGTTTTAAATGGTTGTCAAAACGTCGCGCCCTTTCGGCAAGCCTAATGCAAACAACCCTTTTAAAGGTTTTCGTTGAAGATTTTGATAGGAAAAGCAAAATTTTGGTTGACATTTTGACTAAACACGAAAACCAGCCAATAGATGTGTATCCGTTTTTGAAAAAGTTTGCTTTAGATGTTTTGTGTGGCAAGTATTCCTTGTATTATCTTTTCACAAAGGTTAAGGTAAAATTTATCACCTCTCAGTGCTATTTAATAGGGAAAGGTGATAAATTTACCTTTACCTCTGGATTACGGATTGTGAATTGTTTTGCTATAATTCTATTGGTTCTAGAAAACCTCATGGGCATTTCCTTGAATGTCCAACAAGATTCTACAAACCTAAGCTATTGTGAAGCAATTGAAACTTTAACTGAAACAATCCAAAAAAAACTTGTTTCATTTTTCAATCAATTTGATTGTTTATATCAATTTACTGCATTGTGCAAACAAGAAAAACTTGCATTGGCAATTGCTAATAAAACCATAGAAAGAATTATCCAGAATAAGAAAGGGGTTGAAGAATCATCGAAAACCACTTGTATGTTGGATGTTTTGCTGGATATGAAATTAGATATTGATGATATAAAGGACGAAATAAATACGTTTACTTTTGCGGTAAATTGTGATAATTATTATAAAACGAATATTTTTGGACAATTTTTTAGGGACACGATTCTACCAGTACTGCTTTAGCCTTTGCTTTGTACGAAATTGCTCAGAATCCGCAGGTTCAAGTAAGTATACAGAAATCTCGTTCAAATTTCCAATAGATTATACAGTTTGCTGGTATAGGTACTACAATTTTCTACGTTTCAAATACAGAAATTTCCCAAGAATTTCTAAAAGTTTGTTGGTGACGCAATTTTCTTTATTCCAAATACAAATAACTCCCTTAGAAGATACAGTTTCTTTATTCCAATAAAATGTTTCTTGAAACCATTCAGAGATGAACTACATTTAATATTATTAGGTAAGTTATTAAAATCATCCAGATCTTGGAAAAAGACATCAGAATTTCCAGCTTGCTTTTTATTTCTACGTTGTTGCGCTGGTGCCTTGTATTATAACTACATGGACTTGGTTGGTAACTGATGTTAACTTGTTTCTTAGATAGGAGGATGCATTTCCTACAGGTTTGAAGTCAACCCCTATTTCCTGAACCTTGTGTTCAAAAATTCCAAAAAAAATATATGTTTTATGGTTATCGATATACTTTAATCCATAATTTTTTAAAGCAAATTTGAATCGCCATTTTTGAGTTATATCGCAAAAACTAAAAAAAAAAAGTAGTTTTTCACCATTTATTTCAAAACGAAGAGATGAAGTTTCCCATTATTTTCATTACGAACTACTATTGCAATTCTACGCGACATATATTTTTTTTCAAATTTTTTGAATTTGTAGTTTTCTCGCTACTGCAAAAATAGTTGGAAATACGCCCGTAGCTACACTGTTTATGTTATTATTTGCGTTGGTCGAAACTACAACCCTGTTTATGTAAAACAGAATAATACTACGAATTTCCGCCAAAAAAAGAAAAAAACTTTTCATCACACAATTTAACCAAATGAAGATTTCTATTTTTTTTTGACAGACAAGTTAGGGCACACTATAGGGGCGACAGCATTGACATCTCGCGTTGCTGTAATAAACTATAGGCCTGACTTAAAACCTTAATACAGCAATAATTTATTCCACTTAACTAAACACTCTGACACTAATTAATAACTAAAACAACAATTAAACTCTTTACAACTCGCAACAATAATCACTATTTAAATCGTATCACAGTCAAACTTAAACTTAAAATTACCCAGTAACACCGGCTCTATATATCCCTAAATCTATTTATGTATATTCTAGAATAAACGCCATAATCTTATTTTCCTGATTGAAGTAGAATTTACTAGATTATAAGAATCTGTAATTCTCGAATTCTCGAAAGGCTGGCGGATGCCTAACACTCCCCTTCTCTCAAGGTTGATCGTCCTGATCAACTTCACGCCCATGATATTTCGTCAATCTGCCTAGATGTACAACTTTCATCTTACTCCTGGTGTTGCACTAAACTCGATAAACCAAATCATTAATCTGCTTGATTATTCTGTAGGGTCCTTCCCATGCTGAAGACAACTTCGGCAATACTCCTTTCTTTCTAGCTGGATTATACAGCCACACCAAATCGCCCTCTTGGAATCCGGCTGAATTGGCTTTCAAGTCGTAGGTATCTAATTGTTGCGGAAATAACCCACAAGTTTAAATTTTGTTATTTTTAATTTTTATTTCTAATTTTCCTCTCTATTATTTAACATAAAAATAATATTTTAAAAATAGAATATAGATGCCTGTGAAACCGGCGACAACAACCCTTTGAACCGGTAAAATTACAGGTTTCTTCATTACCTTATAAGGCAGTGGAGCTATTTCGCTGCTATGATTGGTCAGCCGCCACATTGTTTTCTAGATTTTTGTGACCCGCTTCCTGGCAAAGCTAGTCGACGCACATTTTTCAGTACTTTTAGAAGAAGCGAAGAGTTCGCACCCTCGCGCCCTTTGAATACTCTCCAGACGCAAAAACCCTCATTAGTACCTAGTCCCGATTTATAGTAAGATACTACCTTAGATACTACTCTCAGTGTCTCAAGGCCTGACATGGTCTATATTATCAATTACAATTCATGTAATTTACCCTTAATTGTTGCAAGTCACCTCGGATGAGCAAAATTCTCTCCTACACTTGTTTTTGGCTCTATCTCTCTCACTCTCGACGAGCTCCAACGCACCTGTATATCATTGTGTTTTCTTTTCATCTCCAGTGGAAAATTCCTTAGCTGCCAGTGTGAATAGTTGTGATACTTTAATGGATAAATAATCGACTTGTGGATTTATCTGCATGAACCGGATTAAGCAAGTAAGACCGTTACAATTTCTCTCACACTCGTGAAATTACCATTTGTACATTTGTATAGAGAAACTGAGCATATAAAAAGACTTTTCTTGCACATATTGTTTACAGACTTTAGCAGAAAAGTGCTCAAATTGTTAACTCTTAATAAATAAAAGAATTTTCAACGATCAATAAATATTTTGTGATTGCAGTGAATTGATTGAAGTTGGCGAATTATTTATGTTGTGCTCCCGTGCATTTAATTAGTTAATTTGTGTTCTAATTCATTGAACATTTACCCATAATTAATATTATCATTATCAGATTTCCCTACTTTCCATAAATCAAGATAGGTACTCACTTACTTTAGATTAGTATAAAATTTATAGTTCGACGATGTTTATTTTTCTTCTACTAATCGATGAAGCAGCTATATTGGCGAATCCTTCCACAAATCTTCGATAATAAGAACATAATCCTAGAAAACTTCTTAGTTCATGTTTGTCGCGTGGCTTTAGCCAATCCCTGACAGCATCTATCTTTCCTTCCATAACTTGTATGCCATCTTCCTAAGAATTCCACCTTCTTTTGAAATAGAAAACACTTATTTGGATTGACTTTTGGCATTCCAAAAGCGCTCGAAAACTTCTTTCAGGTTATTGAGATGTTCTTGGAACGAATTTCCCATAAGCATGACATCATCTAAATATACCAGACAAGTTCTCCATGTAAGGCCTCACACTAGATGCATCAGTCGCTCAAACGTAGCTGAAGCATTACACAACCCGAAAGGCATTACGTTAAACCGGTATAACCCACTTCGGGTACTGAAGGCAGTTTTCTCTATGTCATCTTTGTGTATTGCCACTTGCATTCACTTTTAATATTCAAGGTGGAACACCATTTGAAACTCGATATGGTTGTTAATGTATCGTCTGTCCTCGGGAGAGGGAAGCTTCTTGGTGACGTCATTAAGCCCACACAAAATCTAAGACTTCCATCTTTCTTCATAACTAATACTACTGGCGCGGACCATGGATTATTTAACTCCTCAATAATTCCTTCTTAAAGAATTTTATCAATTTGGTTTCCACTTCCTGTTGCTACTGGCATACGTCGAGGTGGTTGGTGGGTGGGTGGTAATGATAATGACTGCCCAATGATTTTATGTAAACAACCCTAAGGGTAAGCACATAGTGGAGCGACGAGCAAAGTAGCGAAAACTAACACACGAGATTAAATTGTTTAACACATAGTGAAGAGCAGTGCGGAGATTTAGCAGCGCTGTTAATATCGAGCAAAGCTACGCGTTCAAGCAAGTTTGATTTTTTTACTTTGCTCGTTTGTCTCTGTGTTGTAAAAATAGACGTTGAACAATTAATAAGTAGTATTTTTGTTAAAAATCTATTGTGGAACCAAAGATGAGATACCCAACATCATAACCGATATATATTAGATAAGTTGTGGGATGATGTAGCAAGGAAAATGAAGTCAAGAATCAAGTGAAAAATGATAATTATTTTATTAATTGATTGCTGCTAGACCAACTGGGGATTATGGTAAAGTTAGTCCATTTTTTCATCAATCTTTGTTCTATTTTCTCCAAAATGTAATCAAAAGTTTCAATAATCATTATAAAAGATAAGAGTGAAATTTTTCTGGATGTTGCCGTAATTCCTCATATAAATCGTGATATTCGCCTAATCGAAGTTTGCTTCTGTTTATATGGTGTGCACTATACCTTCTTTTTTTCTTTCTGTCTTCTCATTAAATACCAAAATTTTTAAAGACGACGTTTCGTTTAAAACCAAATTATTAATTTTTATCTTTTTCACTCAAGTATTAACTCGCCACTATGTGCATACAATACAATTCTTTCATCCACTCTCTGCTCAATTGACGCTTTGCTCTCCGCGCTGCCCGCTGCTCTGCTCGCCGCTCCACTATGTGCTTAGCCTTAGGCCGGTCATCCTTTAGATGCGTTTTCGTCCGAATTGCATTCGTCAAAAATCGGACGAAAAAGTGCGAATTGATGCAGCGTGACGCAGAAATGATACGAAATTCGTATCAAAAGCACGATGTATTCGTGGTAGATAGAGGATATCGCGATGCCATTCCAACGCTACAACAATTGGGTATTGACAAAGACATACTCAATAATGTCAGAGCCGGCGAGATACAATTGTCGATCGGAGAAGCCAATACTAATCGACTTATTACCAAAACTTGTTGGATTATTGCCAGAAATGGACATTTCAAGTCAATTTTTAAATTTTTTTCGGAAGTAAGTAATTTTGTCAACAAGCTACTTAGGAAAGGAGGGCCCGGTACTCAACCTTTTTAATTTAATTGCCTTGCCGATTCGGTCGCAGGTTCATTGCAATTCAGCAATGAAATCATATAAATGGCGGACCAAGCCGAGCAACAGGCAGACTTGTACCAGTGTTAGTACCGTCACCCTGGGATTACCCCTTTCCCTTTGAAGTCGAGTCTCCCCAGTGAGTATTAGTATCGCCACCCTGGGAACGCCTCTCTAGATATGAGGATCAGTTAAACAACGTTTAGCATTAGCGTAACATTAGTAACATTTATAAGTGCGTCAAACGTGTTGCCCTATCCACGGAAGAGCATGCATGCATCCTGGACGATTCATGTAATGATTTCTTAGAGCAAATATACATATTTTCATATGAACCTGAGCGAGTTTCTCCATCCATCCACCCTACACCAGCCGTCACAAAGAGGTTGTGACATTATTAGTTCATCAGCAGTGCAATTATCAATAAAAATCACGATCCAGTTATTATGAGAGGAGCTGATATTGCCCAGGCTGAAATATTACTACTA